GGCCCTCCCCCCCCAGCGCCGGCAGCAGCCTCAGGGCTTCTGGGGGCTCGTGGCAGAGCCCCTCACACAGCATGGGGTGGTGGCAGGCAGTGGGGATCACTTCTTCCCCCTGCCCACGGGCTTTTTTTTTTTTTAAGAGCTGGGACCTGGGGTGGGCGGAGCAGCCATGGGGCAGGGGGGCTAGGAGAATGGGCAGTGAGGGGCAGTAGGGCAGTGAGGATCTCCCCCCCACCTGTCAGCAGCTGGTGAGTGGGGGCTTTTTTCTTTTCTTTCTTTTATTTTTTTTTAAGAGCTAGGATCTGGGGCTGCAAGAGTGGGCAGGGAATGGGGGCTCATGACAAAGTCCCCCATGCAGTGCGTGGAGGTGGGGGGCAGTGGAGATCATCCCCCTGCTGGGCAGCAGCTGGGCAGTGCTGGGATTTTTTTTTCAAGGAGCCGGGAGTTGGGCCTGGGCAGGGCAGCCACTGATGGGGCTGGAAGAGCAGGCAGGGGATGGGGCCGATTCAGATTTGGCTGATTCGGGACAGTGACTCAAATCACTGAATCGAATCATTGTCCCCCAAATCAGGCAAATCCGAGTCTGAAGCAAATACTAGCTGCTTTGCACAGGCCTAATAAATACTGTGCTGAGCTCCATGCTACCACATCTACTCTACTAGCAGTACTCAGGCTAGCTAGTTCAAAGATTTGAACACATATACATGAACTGCAGTGACTGCAGTGTAGACATGCTATTAATCTTCCATTAGCAGATGGAGCAGGGCCAGGTGCTATATGTCCCATGCCTACAGCATCTTATTGCTTCATGGAGGTACTGAAAGAAGTTTCTGGCACCTTCTTTTTCTGTGGGCCCCAAACATGTATAGAGTCTGCTTGTCACCCTCCTCCCCACCCCCTAATTTCCCCCAACCTTTGCTAGCTCCCCATCCCAATTTACCCTAGATTGGGTGGCTAATTTTAACATTCTCTAACTTCCCCCTAACCTTCCTGAATGTTTGTATGCAGCCGGGGTTAGTGGGTAAAAGTCTATGTCAGCAGCTCTCAATGTCACTTAGGGTCAGCCTAACACAAAGCAGGGTCTGTGTTCTACTCCACAAAGCTTGTTGTACATTTGACAAGGGAATACAAAAATCAGGGAAGGAAAAGTTAATCTAGCTTTTAAAAATATAAAAAAACCTGGCCTTAGCTGAGCTGAAGGCAGGAAAGAAGTACAAATAAATTACTATTCTATAGAACCTCATCCCTAAATCACATAAAACTACAATAACTGGTGTCTTTACTAGCAGTCTTAGCATAGAAATCAAAGTCAGAACAGGCCAGGAATCGTGGTGTCTGATCCATCCTTTCATAACTAAAGGTAGACAGATTAGGGTGAAAGGTGCCATGTAGAATCATGGGAAACTATAACTGCCCATGCTATAGTTAATACTTTTACAAATACAGTAAAAGTTCTGTTATCTGTCATCTTACAAGCCGGCATGCTCCACTAACCGGCATGCTGGCTTGTAAGATAAAGTGAAACTGGAAATGCCCACCGTGGCACTTCTGGTTTCTGAGCCCCATGGCTCAGGGTAAAGCAGACTGTGCTGCCAAGCCCCCACTGCCTGGGAGCATAAAGGCTGTACAGAGCTGTGTGGGAGGGGTGGAGGGATACCCCAGATGCAGTGTGAGATGCGGTGGCCGGGGCTGCTCAATTAACCAGCATATTTTGTTATACAGCATTCCCCATTCCTGGGGGATGCCAGATAATAAGGGCTTTTACTGTAACAATAAAAAATGCCATAAAATGCTTTTTTACAGATTTTTACTTTAAGAACTCAAATATTTAAAATAAGAGAAGGTTTAACACAACTCACTGTTTGTGCTGCTTTATCTTGTTGACAAAATCTATATCTGCAACTCACCAATTCTGACTACTGATTAGGATTCTAAAGTCTCTATGTGATTGTTCTTTCTCCCTTCTGTATCTGTCTTGTGGTCTTGCATTTTCTGCAAATACAGTACCCCCTCATTTTTGCAAATCCCATTTATACCAAACACCTGCTTTTAACAATGAAAACAATAGGAGATGATCTTTTTCACTACTGATACAGCAAATTGACTAACCCTTTTAGAGCAAGCATGCTCTTTTAATTTAACTTTTCTCCTGGTCCCATGAAGGTTTCTTATAATGAGGTTATGCTGTACTTTCATTCCAGTCTGTCTGAAATGGTAAAATTAGACAGGGTTGCTCTAATGTAGTTATCTTAACTCATAGTTAAAAGCCAAAAAGAGAGAGCTAGCTAATTGGCTATGATCCTGCAATTCTTCAATGTGGTATACTATCAGATGAAGTCAGAAGGAAGTCTGAATTCAAAATGAGAGATTCTGAGCTAAAATATGGACATAAAGAAGCTAAACGTGGAGAAGGGTCACAGTTAAGTTAGGTTAATCATAGCACTGAGTTTAGACTCATTATTAGGCCTGTGCAAAGTGGCTAGTATTCGCTTTGGATTCGGCCGATTCAGGAGACAGTGATTCGATTCGGTCGTGGGGCTTTTCTCCATTCTTTTTTTTCTTACAGGGTCAGAGCCACAGTGGGCAGGACAGCCATGGGGGAGCTGGGGGAGTGGGGGGGCATCAGGGGCTCATGCAGAGCCCCCCATGCAGTTTGGGGCAGCAGGGATTGCCCCCCCTGCCCGGCAGCACCCAGTGAGCACCCTGGCTTTTCTTTAAAGAGCCAGGAGCTGGGGTGGGCAGGGCAGCCATAGGTTGGGGGGCTGGGAGAGTGGGCAGGGAACGTGGCCTGGCAGGGGTCCCTCCAGTCCCTCAGCCCCCCTCCCCCACCTCCTTACTTACCAGCTCAGAGTCCAGCTGCAGCTCCCTGCTACAGCCACCAGGGACTACCCGCCTCATCAAAGCTCTCTGAATCTTTTCTGAAGATTTGGAGAGCTTTAAATCCATTTGGATCTTTTAATTGGTCCACTGATTGAATTCGGATTCAAAGATTCGGCCACCAAATTGGGCCAAATCTCCTCTGAATCAAATCACCACTTGAAGCTTCACACAGCCCTACTCATTATGGGATCTGTTATTTTTCTGTGTTTACAAAGGATGCCATTCTAGATCTAATAGTCGTCTTTTGGTTTTAGGACCTAGTAAATGTCTTTGTATTGTACTCCACGGTGACCCGCGTAGCAGTATTTGTTGAAAAGATACAGTGATCCAGATATCCACAGAGCTTTAAGTTAGGGTTTTGTCAGAAAGCGAGGGCATAGAAAGTAGGGAACAACACCTTACAAGGTATTTTCACTTGAAAACCTAGCAGATTTCTGAGAGGAAATTTTGCTGAGTGTTAATACTGCTGTAAGCAGCAATTCATTTCATTTCATGACCTCCAAGTTGGTAAGATGTTAGAAGAACTAGTGCCAGCTTAGCTTTTGTAAGAGGCAAGAGAGTGGAGATTGCAGTAAACCAGGGAATGTTGCACTCTGTGCTCTCTCACTCTCAAATCCTTTGCTAGGGAATGACAACATACATTTCCCAGATGGGTCTTAACATTTCTCGTGGTCTCTTCCCTTCTCATAGATTTTCTATAGAGAGGATTAGCAAGACTTGTTTTGCAATATTACATAATAATTGGCAAGAGAATAAATAATAGACATTATCAATCCTTCTTTTCAATTTACTTGTTAACATTTTAAATACATTTTCAAATAAAAAAACAATCAAATAGATTTTACTGTACCTTGTGAGACTTAAAATAAAGATTAGACAGTACAATCAAGCTCCAACATTGCTAATTTTTCATTAACTACATCTAAGGACTCCAATAATTTCCTGTAAGAAACTTGTAGCTTCCTCAAAATTGAAGTTTCAGTTTCTTCTGTGAATGTCTGTTTTTTACACTGGTACATTATTGTTTGCAATCCTTTATATCACACTATTTATGAATGTAATCACCACTAAATTCACGTTAAATGAAAAAAAAAATCTGCTGATCTTTATGCATTGCATGCCATTCCTTTTAATAAATGTTTCCACAATATTTAAGCATTCTTTGGGCAAAATTTAAAAATCCCTTAAAGGCAGACCAGGAAGGCTCTCTGTTATAATTTCTGTTAAAGTGCAGGATTAAGAAAGAAATTGGCTTTGAAAGTAGTTAGTGCTTTTCAATGAAGCTCATTATAAATTGACCTTGGTGTTTTTCTGGTTCAGCAACTTACAGGGATTTGTTTGCTATATATATAAGGACTTTACAAACTCCATAGTGGCAAAGTGCCATAACCTTGGTAGAATAAAATATCTATAGTAGATAGCTGCTTAAAACACTTAATGCAATATAATAAGGTTTGTCTGCTTTACTTACCTCGCTTATTTAAAAGCCGTGACTTTTTGCAGTGGTAAGCAAGCTCCTGTTCACAGTGTTCTGCATGGTTAATTGTAGCCTGAAGCTGTTCCAGGTTGGCAGTGTACTTGAAAAACACAGTGTGTGGGTTCTCCCGATTAGCACTTTTGACTCTGGTTAAGTTGGTGTTGTTGTGCTGTATAATTGTCCAAGTCGTATCTTGCAAAACACACAGAGAAAAGTAATGCAGCATGTAAAATAGAAGCAAAAGTTAGCAAGGGAAATAAATTTGTAATGGAATACATCTGGAATTAAGGTGACTTTTTCCAGTCACAAGACCAATTGTGGGACGTGAAAGCAACATACAATGTTAGTAAAAGGTTCTGCAATTGTACACAAATATTAGGTTACCATTGTTCCCCTTTGTGAAACTACTGTACCATGCTTTCAGGTGCGGAAAATCACCAATCACAGAAAGAATAGGTGAGGATAGCCAAATACCTGTTTTCTAAATGCCACATGGTCTAAGGGGAAAACCCCAGTGACTTCCATTATTGTTACTTTGCAAAGGTTAGCTTCTGTGTAAAAAGACACACAATTATAAACAGGTTTTCGTTATCTGAAGAACATTTGGCATTAGGTCTTTCTAATAATTTGATTTTATCAGAGAATTTACATCAGTTGCCAGGACTCATCTTTCTATTGCCCAAAGAGTGGGCATATTGAATAATTACTTGCAATTATATTCATTGTAAGGCACATATAGGAAACAGGTTCCTTCAACAACCCCATACTCAGGTGGTAATCAGTATTTCTGCTGGTGCTTTGTGGGTAAAAGACAAAGGCCAAATTAATCATTAAATACAATCCTATTCCACATTACATAAGAGTCGCAAAACCTCTGTGGCATCTAGATGCCTTACACTCTTGCATTTTGGCCTAAAAGATCCCTAGACATCTGGATGTGAGCTGCGGTACATGTTCGGAGCAATTCCAAATATCTACTTAGCTGTCTAAATGTGTGTAAGGCATTGGTTCTCAACCTTTTTATGCTACAGGCATTGCTAGACAGACTCAAGTCATCCCTTAATAGACCTAAAGCAGCCCATCAGAAAATGTCAGCTATTAGTTTTCACTTATTTTTTGCCTACATTAAAAAATAGAGCAATTTTTCTTTTGCAAAAAACTCAGAAGGACCATACCAGGTCAGAAGTCAGAATGTTTTTCACACTATGGATTGCTATTTGAAATCTTTGGGTTTATTTTGTGAATCATGTTTACACCCTTAACAGGGCTAACATTGAGTGGTATCCCACGGCACTTTTGTGAATGACTACTCTGTTGGATTCCAATTATGTCTGGAAAATGTCACTTAAATTTACACCCAGGCTCTCCAAAGACCACCAAATTTGCATTGCAGAGAATACCCACAATTGTCACCTCACAAATCTCAAAAGGGCTTTCACCCAATAAGGACACTCCTCCAGAGAGATAGATAACACTTCTGAAAGAGGCACTTGGATACCATGTGTAGAATTGTTGCAGTACAAAAAGAAAATCCCCGTGAATTGCAGATGATTAGTTACAACATACCACTCTTCCTTGTAACCTATGCAGAGAATCCTCAAACAAATGCATCCATACTAGGAGACCCAATTTTTAAAGAGATCTCTCCAGAACCACCTGTCCTACCCTTTAATCAAGCACTGAACTTTGCTAGCCTCATCGCCAGAAGCAAACTTCTTATGACTCAAAACACACCAAATGGATCCAGACCATGCCAAGATAAGAAATGTATAACCTGCCAACACATCTCCACCAGTCCCACAATAACGACACCCCACAACAGAACTATCACCATCACCATTCCTGGATCTTACACCTGCACCTCCAGAAATGTAATATATCATATCCAGTGCACCAAATACCCTGATGGAAAATATGTAGGAGAAACCAACCAAACAACAACTTCATACCAGAATGAACGCACATTGAAAATCCAAAAATATCCAATTACCTGCGGGTGCCCACTTCTCATAAGACAATTACTCCCTCTCCAATTTCTCAGTTCTAATCCTCAAAGGGAACTCACAAAACTTCTTTTGTAGATGAGCCTACAAACTTTACTTTATAAATCTACCAAATACAAAAAATCATGGTCTTAATAATTTAGACATTGGATTTATGACATATTACAACCTGCCTGATATCTAACACACTAGGTAACCTACTTGTTATCTGACCACTTGGTTTACTTCACACTTTTACCTCTCATCCCCCTGCCCATCTCTACTTTTTGTCTTCCAAACTTCTAATGAGTTGCATCTTCACAGACTTCTTGTTTATTTTGGCTTCTTTTCTACCTCGGAGAACTCATAACATCAGCAGTCTCCCATTGCTTGAAGAAAGGTGTTTGTGCCCAAAAGCTTGCAAAGAACTTTCTTCCACTATTTAGTTGGTCTAATAAAAGATATTACATCTACCCAAAGAACCTTGCCTACTTAAATTCTTGATTCCTTAAACAAAGAAAAACCACATAAAGATCCTGAAAAGGAGGGAAAAAAGAAGGAAAAGAAAGGGCAACCCAAGGAATGGCTTACTGGTTAGGTTATTCTCCAGGGAAATTTAAGGTACTCTGCACTAAAAAGTCTGTGGACAAAATTCATAAACAACCGTGGGATTAGGGGCCCGGGCTTGCACCTCCCTCCCTTCCTAGAGAATACCCACTGCTCTGGGATACAGAATCTGACTTCATCTTGAATGATCTTCTGGCTCCATGACATTACCCATTATAAAAAAGGACCAGGTTCAAGTAAAAGGGATGAAGGATACCTTCAGCCATGCCTAGTAGTACTTTCCTAGTAAATGGGAGATGTGATTTCAAGATTGACTGAGGTCTAGAATTCAGTCTCTCTGACCAGTGACAAGTTACTGGTTTACCTGGAAAGCTGCTAGACCCACAGCCATAACAATTAAGCCTTAAGGTACAACCCCACTGACCTTTCCACTTCTCCTATCAATTATATGCACTGCTAGATTTGTTCCAGAAGGTCATTTCCTATCTGATCAATCCAAACCAGCTGGACATAACAGAAGTATATTAGAAGGACATAACATACCATAAAATGCTCAAAATCTGCCCATTGAAAGAATAGGAGAACTACATGCCTTTTCAGGCAGAATAGGATCATCCTTTGGAGACTTGTAAGGTTACTCACTGGCATAATGGTAGAGTTATACATCTCCCCAGAGAATGGATCACCTTTGGTTGCCCAACGAGAGCATGGAAGACCTGTGAATCTCCACAGTGGAGTGGGAATGCACTCCAGAGGTGTGACATACTTTTTGAGCTAACTTTAGCAAAGTCTTAGACATGTTGGAGGTAAAATTGGATCAAGGCCAAAATTTCATTCTTGCCTAGAATATTTATTATTTTGAACAAGTGTAAATTTTTTTCTGTCTCCTCCACTACTCCTACTGCCAATGTGTTCCCCAGAGATCCTTGGTAATAAATGGAAATCATTGTAGCAGTATCTAGGAGTCATGTATCAAGTTTCCATTCTGCAAGGTCCTTCCTCCTCAATGCTTCCAATATAAATACAGTTTGGATGTAAATGATTATATCAGTAGTTAAGCAAAATACATTCTAAATCATGGAATAAATCCTATCTTTACAGTGGGCAGTAAAAAACTAAAACATGTCAATTGGATAATTACAATTTAGTCTATGTAGGACTTCACACCGCTTCACAAAGAGGATGGAGGAATTGGAGAATCAGAGGAAATGAAAGGATATAAATGGTGGAGTGGTATGAAACACAGCTTTTTCACTAGGATATTTTCATAGGATCTAGTTTTTGCTTTGCATGAGCAAGAAAAATCTTAGAATTTAAAGCTGATGGAGTGCTAATAACTCAAGTAGCCCATGCAAAAAACTACCACTGCAAAAAACTAAATACCTGTATGCAATAGTTTGAAAGCTACATATACTAATTTGAGCACAGAGTATCCTATGTTGCATAATGACAGCTTATTATGTATGATGTATTATTAAAGATTTCAGGTTTTACATTTAATTGTAAGTTATACCAGGGAGATTTTTATCTCTCCACATTTACAAACTGTGCATACATCCTCTTAACCTTCCTCTCATATTAATTCTTTTTTTCAGCTGAGCAAAGTAAATACATCAAGTGGTGTACTGAGGTAGGCATAAGATGATTGGGTATTTTTTTGCTGAGCTATCTCCATGATTCCAATGAAAGAAAATTTACATGCTTGTACCTGTTCATACTACCTTGCTTCTTGCAGCATAATTACAGATATATGCATAATTTAATTCTAGCAACCAAAACTCTCTCAAGGAAAGGAATCATTAAAACAGTAGTGTGAAGAAATTACTAGAACAAATTTATGAAATTATAGGGAAAATAGACTCATGATGTATCTTCAGGTAAGTTTGACAATAAATGATGAATACCTTCCTTCATCTGACATTCTTGTACTTTCTGGGAACACTTAGACACTACATATTCTTTTTTTTTTTTATTAACAAAAACTATTCTTCACTCAAATGAATAGGGTAGAAAATAGGTTTTGCTTGACTATCAGCCAGTGTCTTCTTTGACCTTAAAACTTATTTATTATAGCTAACTATGGCTATTGACCAGGGAAATTTAGATACAAATATGACCACCAAAGAGGTTTTTATCATGTTTTTCAAGTCGGATGCATCCCTAATTTAAACCTCTCTCCCAAAAGAATGACTCCACAAACTTCTGCTAAGGTAATATACTGGGTGGGAGTGAAACAGAGATACATCTTGTATGTGTTGTAATCTGTTCCTCCTTTGGGGCTGTATGATCGTTATTACTGTCCCCTTCATACAACCCTCTGTTTTCTCCAGTAGGTCTGGAGGACCAGGTTCTATGATCACTCCACAATACACGATCACTCAAAGCATCCCCTCACTATGGGCTGAGGCTAAATGGTATGAATTAACCAGTTTAATCGATCTGGGTTGTAACTCAAATTGTAAGATTTTAAAGTGAATGGTCATGTTTCTCTGTGTGTAATATAATTATGTCTCAATTAAAGTAAGACATACAAAATCTACCTGTGATATGGACTCTCCCAAATTTAGATCCCTTCTATTGCACTTGTATTAGGGCTGGCAAGATGAGTTTTAGAATATTTATATTTCATGAATATTCTCACATTAAGGCTGCCATTGAGTCATACACCCCACACAATGATAGGGATAATAGCAGTCACTGTGCTTCAGGAGTGTAGAGACAGTCCCCTCCATATACTTCTGGGGATGGAAAATTGACATAAGCACAGGCAAGAGGTAAGGAATTACACTCTTTTGCCTATTCAATGGTGTCATTGATTCTTTCTTGAGTTTCAGAAAGTAAAAACTGTGCTCTCAGCTGCTGGAGGTCTGTGACTATCTGACGTAAATATGTAAATATCTATATTTTCCCAAGAAGCAGAGATGAGTGAGCTGGTTGCTTGTTAGCTCTGATTTGTGTCAGATGAGTCAAGTTTAGAATCAGGTGTACTGCATATTTTGGTGTCTCTATGCCCAACTTAATTTTAGTAGGTGTGAGAAATATTAATCACCCTCTTTCCTTGCTGGCTTTGCACCTGAGATAAGAACTCATTGCCACTGTCTTATTTTTTTCTCACAATATTCTTCATGTTGAACCTATTTGCAGACTTTGAAGTCCATGGGGATTTAATTAATATTTTACTTCTAACTGTTTACCTGTTCTAGAGGTATATCCTTT